CATACATTCTGTAACATAGCTCTCAACGAATGTAGTCTTGTAAATGTATAAAGCTACTGTGTAATAAAATGCCTCTGGCGGGACTCGAACCTGCGACCCTTTCGCTGTCAAGGCGAGCGTCATAACCATTAGACCACGGAGGCTTCGTGGTTGAACAGATACAAATACCACCAGATACACTCCATTACACAATAGATAGGCCTACGGCTAGAAACAAATAGTTAGATATAATATAAATCAAGATAGACGTTAACACTATATAGGGATGGGGGTGAGGTGCCAAGCTTGATTAGCTCTAGTTATACCCTGGTTACCTTTTGTATTTATATGTTTGATACAATAAAGAAGAATGTAATATAAACATTTGGTTTCTATTATGGATTTGATGGTCCAGAAAAAATGTAATTTCTGACAAGTGTGCTTGATCCAAATTAAAATAATACCAAAACACTACTATTTTGTCAGTTTTTGTGCAATATCCTAAGTGGTTTAATTTCACGGTGAAAACAGAACATTTACCTCCTGACTCCATATCTATGAATGTAATATTCTAAAAGACTCGTCAATTTAGTAGACAGAACACAAAAAGTTTACTTTAAGATCTTGTAAGGCCAAAGTTAAGGAACATGGTTTTAAGTGAATTTTCCTCAAAATGTCATGTTAAAGTGTCAAATAGGAACATATGTTTAAGTAATTGGAGACCAAAACTAAGTCTTTACAAACAGGCACAGAAATAAGGAAATCTTCCAAAAAAATAAGGTCATAGGTCAAATATCACATTTCCAGTCACTCTTGGAGAAAATGTTACATTGAAGTAAATAGAAATGTATATGTTTTTATTTAAAAAAGAAACCAAGTCTGTACGGCTAGTGGTTGCCAAGATATGCTGCATGTATATCCCTAATTTGCATATCAACTAAGATGTAATTTCACCAGCCCCGCATTTCAGCATCTGTGTATTTTGATTATTATAATTATTTAATTAATTTATTCCATTTCAAAGGCTAGATTTTATGGGACTAATTAAATCAATAATTTTCTATATTAATTATATGCTAAAAATAGCTAAAATATTTAAAATAGCGGCCATTTTGAATTTCAATTTTGAAAATTTGAAGTGAAATATTATTTTTATTTTCATTTATATGACAGAATATTTTTTATACATTAGCATCTTTGAATGTCATAAACGTACAAATATTGGTAATAAAATGCTTGAAAATAGCGGCCATTTGAAATTGCTGGGTTACCCCCCTTCCGCATAAAAAAAAAATGTGACACATTTTATGAGACTAATTAAATCATTAATTTTGTATATTAAATATAATGCTAAAAATAGCTAAAATATTTAACATAGCGGCCATTTTAAATTTAAATTTTGAAAATTTGAAGTGAAATATTATTTTTATTTTCATTTTCACTTTATGAAAGAATATTTTATACATTAGCATCTTTGAATGTCATAAACGTACAATTATTGCTTGAAAATAGCGGCCATTTGAAATTGCTGGATACGCCCCTTGCGCATAAAAAAAATGTGGTACATACTTTTATATTCAGTGATGTCTATTCTACAACATATTGTATTCATTTTTTTTATATGGGAAAAAAAAAGAAAAAAAAAAGCAACCAACCAAAATTTCCTGGACAACTCACCTGGGTCTCGGCGAATTCTACTTTGGTCTACAAGCTCTACAAGACGAAATTGAAATAGATAGAATAAAACGTTTGCTGTAGAGTTAAAAGGTCTATATGTGTGTTTGTGAATATATTTAGATTTCTGTTTGTCTGCGTCTACCTACTGATTTATTCATACGATGAGACATACGTGGATCCACATCGTTTATCCCATTTGCCATTAAATTTATATATATATATATATATAGATTTAGTCTAGTAAAACCGGAAAAGCATTAGATAACGCGCCAATGTATTCATTATTACTGTATTAAGCAATGGTCAACAGTGCGCATGCGCACTCAATGTCGGTATATATCGTTGCAGGTAAAAGCAGAATTAGGCTTTAAAAAAAGACAACAATGATTTTTAAATATTCCTATTAGGTGGCTGTATTGCGAAATCTAAAAAATATTTTTATAATAACAAAAAACAACATCAACCTTGAATTTGTTGTCCTTGTTATCGTGGCGGTTGATATGCAGAAATAATTGGGATTTAATTTGGACCGGACAAAATATACGTATATGAATACACGTTTTGAAGATACGAGCAAGAAAGGTGAATAAATGACAAGTTTATTTCGCAGGTTATATTTATATTTTAAAATAATAATTGCAAACAAAATTCCAATTTAGCTGGTAATAAAATATATTAAATATTTCTAAACAATCGCATCTTGACCTGTGCTAGTAAAACGTACCATTTTCATCAGGTAAGGCGTCAGCAAAGACATATTCAGTCAGAACACACACTATCAGGAATACAGCCAACACTTGCAGGGTACTAAAATAAAAATACTCATTGTAATCAATTGTATTCTGCCATACCTTCATACGGGAAGATCTCTTTCACGAATTAATATTACTAATGCTTTTGAAACAATGTAAAGCCGGGGGAGTCACTGCGCTGTACGACGGTCGTACGACCGTCGCACGACGAATCAACTCCCGCGCGCTCCCTGTTAGAACTAGCCGACGCGACGCCGTCTGCTCATTGTCCGCGGCAGTTTGTACAGATAATAATCTTTACTTGAATCTTTTTAGGTAAGACTTACATATTTTATCAAATGTTATAGGCCTACTTATATCATTATATTTCTATAGAACTGTTTCTACTTTTTACGAGTGAAAAAATGCGGATGATTTTATTTTCTTTTTGAATTCTATTATGCGCATACGATTTTCTTCTTCTACTACTACCTCCACCACCACCGCCTCCGCTGCTGCTACTGCTGCTACTGCAACTACTACTATACTACTACTACTAATAATATAATAATAACGATTTGTAA